TGTTTGTGTGCTAAAAGCAAAAAGTTTGCTTTTACGCCGCTGAGCAGCAGTGACCCACGCGGGGCTCTGGGGGGGGCGGCTGCTGCCCTCAACCCCCCGTGCCACGGCTCTCTGCATCGCAGCCTCCATGTTACTGCAGGTGAAGGAGCTTTTGTATCTGATTTCCTTGTTTCTGGTTCACGAAAAGGAAGCTGATGCCAAAAGAAGATGGGGAACCCACGATGGGGAGCGGGCGGGTGGGAGGACCACAGGCGAGCGGGGAAGAAAAGGCTGGGGGTGGAGGGCTCGCTCAACCTGAAGGTTCACACGAGCGTGGATGGAGAAACAGAAATCCTTAGCCTGCTCCCGGGCTTTTTAACATCCCCCAAAAAAAACACTCACTGCTAAGGGTCTTTATATGGACTAACTCTTGGGAAAATTCCTCAGGAAGTTCAGTTTCTCTTTTAATATTTAGATTTTAATGTTGCTGGGACCATAGCGGTCTGAGGATATAAAGGGAAATGCGGTTTGCAGTAGCTCCCCCTTGAGAAAAAAATGAGTCAACGTGTTTTTCTTTTCTCTTGGGTGACTGTTAGGAAGGGGAGCATTTGTATCTGAGGTGATGCTCTGGCTTCGCAGATAGATTATACAAACCTGTTCTAAAAATTCACAGAATTTAAAATCTTAAAAATCAATTAAAAATGTAAAAATATACCTATTTAGCTGTAAGTAGCAATGGCCCTGCAGAGTTTATTTGGATCTATTAAGCAGCATTTGAAATAAAATACATTTTTAGAAAATCCGATCTATCACATAGTCTGTCTAAAGAAACATAATGGCTTTCGGAGCTGGACAAGAGGTTTGTTTTCAGTGAGTTCCTCAACATTTTTGTTTTAAAAATTATCAATAAGAAAATGAGCCAACAAGGAAATTCACATACAAAATCTGCACTTGAGTAACACTAAAATCCCTCCCCAAATATTGGGAAATTCGACTTATGGCTAGTGCTCTGTTCCTCTGTCTCGGGGTCACATTCGGAAAGGCCGCCTGCACAGAGACTGCGCCGCCTCCAGCCACATCTCCTGTTCGGAGACACGAACTCCTCAGACAACTTGAACTCCCGCTTGGACCTGAAGCATCCAAAAACTGACTGTGGCTTCGGGTCCCAGTCTCAGGGACTGCTCCATCCCACAGGTGGGGCCATTTAAAGTATCTCTCTCCAGACCTAGACCCAGATTCTGGGGGAAAAAAAAAAAAAAAGTCCGAAAGTTTCTTGGAGCCCAAATCCCAGGCTGCGGTCCAAGGCCACGGCTTCACATTCAGCACAGACGCCCCTCGAAACCAGACTCTGTGCACGCAACCACGCGTGGGCACAGGCACCCCCACAGCAGTTCAGGCTGGCCTGCTGGAAATTTGGCTTTCACATCTTCTTCAGCTCTCCTTGGTCTCCTCTGTCCCTGCTTGGCATTGTCTAAAACTTGTTTCTATCCTCCAAAAAAATACAGAACCAGACTTGGGAAGAACAGAGGAGCAAAGACTCGCCTGAGAGAGGCTCAGCAGAGGGACAAAGTTTGCCTGTCCATCCTTTCAAAGGTTAAAGACCTTCATTGGGACTGCCTTATTAGCAAAACTAAATAAATTTATTTTCTTTTAATCTAGTGGTTAAGACCTCTTGTGGGAGATTACCACCAGGACTGCGTGATACAGGCACGGGGGAATTGAGGGATTGGAAGTGAAGACCTTGCAGGAAGTATTGGACTGTGATTTCGGACAGAAATGAAATTATTTATGTCAATAAGCAACAAGCAGGCTCTGTTATCATTTATGCAGGCATAAATAATTTCATCAAAATAAGGAGCATTATTTGGAGTTAATTGTGGTGTAAATTAACCCCCAAATCCAGGTCTTTTTGCCCAGATGAATGAGAAGTGATGATTTAGGGCATGGTTGTGGATGGAGGCATGTGTCAGAATTTCTTTGAAACGATGCCACAGATATAGGTGGAATATTCCTTAGACCTTCCAAAAAAAGTTCTATGTGAAATTTGTAGCAGCCAGATACAATCTGCACTGCATGTATATAAAACAGTTTTCTGTAATTAGTGGTTGTGGGACAAATCCAAGACGCTTTAAAGCTACAAGTCTGAAGCTTTTTATAAACCCTGGTGTAGTAACTTGAAGGGGGAAAACAATTCTTCCTGTGCAGTCCCTAAAGGAGGTAAAAGACTGCCAGATTTCAATCTGTAGAAAACAGAGGACACAGTGGAACTGTCTCCTTGGGACACATTGGCGGTCTCTGCTTTCAAGGGTGTAACATCATCCGGGCAGGAAAAAGGGATTTTGCAGTAAGAACTAGGAAATGGACACTCAAAATAGAGCCAATAGGGCTTCGAAATGAGGACACGATGAAAATTACACCCCACAAAAATTGTGCCTTGAAGTCCCGTTCACTTTGCCTCCTACAGTAAAGACCAGTCGTGTACCTGTCCTGCAACAGGACCGCATGACATCATACTCATCCTCGTCTGGATATCTTACCCGTTACACCATACCCTTCTGTGCCAAATTTCCAGCAGGCCTCAAAAAGTAATTACAAACAAATGAGATAATAAATCCTTGTTATCTCTGACTTGGGCAAAATTTGCAGCGAGCAGCTGGCCAGAGCAATGCGGACCTTTGCCTCACCCAACGCAATTTCCATTCTTGCGGTCACTAGCAAACACGTGCCACCAAGTCCGACTTGGGACCTGCTGACATTTCTTGCTCTACCAGAAGGCATCATTTTGCAACACGCCAGGGGCAAAGCCGCACAATTTGTGGCCATTTTGCATTCAGAGATTTCTCTGTATGGAAGTCAAGGGCATCCCAGGGTTCACTTTGCACAAAGAAATCTGGAGCCAAAAAGGAGTTTGGGAGCACAAGTAGAGAGGGAAAAATTGCAGGAGGTAACCAAAAAATGGATTAAATGGGAAAGAAAGGAACCAGCATGGCCGGAAGCCTAGGTTCCCTTGAAGAAAAATGTTTTCCCCTCCTGAATGGTGAAAAATGGCAGGAAAAATTGTGCAGAGCCTATCCCCACTCTTCAGTCTCATGTGAAGACCTGTGTGTTGGTCCTGAGCACCAGCAAAAGGATGGGTTTATCTCCTGTCTACAAGCTGTCGGACTGCACCCACATCTTCCTTAAGGCCAAAATAGTCCCGGGTCTCCCCTGATTGCTGCCTCTGGTCAAGCAAACAGGAGGAAAGCAAAAGGCTGTGATTCTCCCCTCACCCCAAGGAAGTCAATGTCCAACCTCTCAAAGGCTGCACAGAAATGAAGTTGTCACCTAAATACCCTTAACAGGCTCTTGATACAACACAGGGAAAATGTGGGGAGATGGGGTTTGAAATCACAGAAATCACAGACTCAGCCCCAGCAGAAAACACACATGGGATTTGGGCTGTAGATGCATGGGAGCGTCCAGAGGCACAACGCCGGCCATGGTGTCCCAGCCCTGGAGATGGATCCCAAACACAACCTCTCCTCATCCACCCCACCAACCTATCTACGTAAAGGATCACTTTGTGACTTTGTTTTGGTCCCAAAAGAAACTTTTGAGCATCACTTTTCCCCTCGCCTTCCCCCAGCTGAATGAGCTGCTGAGGTTCCTGATAAGGACACAAAGACCCTTCCGAGAGAAAGTACTTGAACAACAACAAAACGGGGCAGACTTGGATTGGCACAACTTGCGGGCAAGCACGGGTAAGAGGCTTCTGAAAGACCATGAAGAAACAAAGAAGCACCTCTTAACTCAGCTTGTGGGATCCAAACAAAACCAAAGGATGTCCCAAGAACATGGGTATGAGATTCTTGGCAGGGCAGAAGAAGAAAGGGAAGATTTTCACGGGGCATAGTATGTGCAAAAGTGTTCAGGCACAATGCAAACTGTAAGAAAAGTGCCCGCTCTGACCAACAGGGCTTCAAAAGGATGGAGCTCAGCACTTAACTCGCAGCAATGCAGGGATCACAACATCTTGCATATCCACCCTCTCCCTTTGGCCTGGTGTGGCTGCGACTCCACAACAGCACCGTTGGCCATAAGAATGGCTTCATACCGTGACAGCCCTCCAGAGGGGTTGCCTTTGGTTTGCCTTTGCTACCAAAGCACTTCCAGGTCTATTGTCAACGGGAGGATAGATAATTACATATAATACATGGTTTAAAACATAAAATTCCAGCCCTGTAGTCTCTTGTCCTCCTTCTTTGTCTCATTTCTCTGCCCTCTGGGTTGTCTCTCTTCTTGCACTCAAGCTCATATTTCTGAGTGTTTCAATTTCAGAAGATGGGATCATTTCCAAACCATTCTGGTTCAGAGCCATATCCTAACCTGTCCCACTTTGAAGCCATGTCTTCTGTTCATGCGAGTACTCCAGCCACCATCCCTCTCCTCCAGGGGCCTATGCAATGTTTCCATGTATTATATTGGAATTATGCCACCTTCCTGACAGTAAATGAAGAACCACAGAGTAATATGCCCCCCCTGTATTTACATGTGACCTGAAATCTAAGCCAGAAACAGACACGTGTTCATTCCATGACTCCAAAATACCTAAAGGTGTAATCACCAGCGCCACGACGTGGCAATTCCCACCTAACACTTGTCAGCCACCGGTTACTGTGACCTCCAAAAGCCCTGGCCGGGTGATTCATTCCTGCCCTGCACTTCTAAAGATTCCCAAGAAAGGCAAATTGCCTACCCTGCACCATGACATAACTTCACCTAATGATCTCAGAAAGAGAGTATGAAAGAAATCTGGACTTCACGGCTCCAGTTCGCTCACCACCGTGACCTCTTCCACAAACGCAGGCTCGGACCTGCTCGTTCACCCCCCAGAGTAAGCTGCAAGAAAGTATCCGCCAGCTAAGGATGTCCTAGAAGGAGGAAAACCTTAGCTGTCAATCTCCTTGAGAAGTTCGACGCGTGGACAGCTGGAGCGGGCAGCTGCCAGCGCTCGGACGTGGCTCGGCGGCTGCGAGAAGGCTTCACTGCCTGGGGGCTGACCAGCCCATGTCACTGAAAGGTCCCTCGCCCGTGGCCGACCTGGGAGGAGGACCGCAGGGCGTGCAGAGGTCAGAATCGGTGTCTGATTCCCCTTCTGCAATGTAGGGTCTGATTTTGGCTACGGCTGCATAGCAACCGTTGTTAAGGATGTCCAAATTCTCTTTGGACTGGGAGATGCTAAAGCCACTGAAAGAGCGCTCCAGTTCCTCGTGGTCTACCGAGGGGATGGAGATGGACGTGTCGCTGTCTCTCAGGGCACTCTCGTGGTGTTTGGTTGTAATGTCTTCATTCCTCAGGTACTCTGCGCTCGCCCTGTGCCCACCGCTGTACGCTGATAAGGAGCGCTCGTGGGAGGGCGGCGGTGGGATGCGGACCAGTGAGCCGGGGTCTCCGACGGGCGAGGAGCCATGGCTTTGCCGCTGGTAGACCTGCTGCTGGCATGATGTCGAGGGTGGACATGTGTTGGTCGGGGCTGGTGGGGCAGAGAAGTTCTTCTGACCCATAGAGCTGGTGGACCTGATGATCTTGATGATGCAGCCGTTCTTGTCAATGTGCTCCCTGCTGTCTTCAGGGCTGTGGTAAGGAGGTGCTGGGTCTGGTTCTTTGGACCCAAAGTAAGCCTCCGTCTCTGTTGGTGGGATGCCCATCCGCTGCATGTAGATGTTCACCAGGAAGTCCAGCTTCTTCTCCATTGACTGAACCTGCAAAACACCGCAGTATGAGTGCTACACACTGCACGCAGGTTGAAGCACATTAACATCCCGAGTACAAGTGACTTCCAAACCATCTAGGCACAAGTGTGGGGCTGGGCTTCACAGAAGACCTCTGCCTACACTGACCTACACCAAACCAAAACTTTTAGTAAATATTTAATTGTCCTGTTCTGAAGTGTTTAATTCTCCACCTTGTTATAGGGTTTTCCTTAAGCTCCATCTTTTTGACAGGTACCAAATTCCAGGAACGCTGGAACACGCTCCCATCCTTTCAGCTCCTTCCTGCATCTGGCACTTGCCTGGGCTCAGATGGGCCACAGGGGTTTCTGAGCCTTATCCTCTAGGAAGATTTTAATCTTTGGCAAGGCCGGCAGCTACAGCAGTCAGGCTCATGGACTCATTTGAAACATATCTAGTACGGTGGCAAAGAAACCAATGTGCCATTTTCAAAAATAATGTGGACTTTTGGTAAACTCACTAAAAAACTGTATGTCAGAGACTCCAAAGTGCCTGCTTTGAAAGGAGTACTTAGGCTTCTAAGACCTTTAGTGCCCTTCCATAACATCCACTTTGTTTCTTTTTCAAAATATTCTTAGATCCTGGGTTTTTTTCTAAATGATAATATCACACTGGGGAAAAATAAGGCAAGAAAAAACCAACACAATGCATGCAACGCCTTCTGATAAAAACTCCTTCCTGACCCAATATACCTGTTTTTCAACTTTTCCAAGCCTGCCCATCATACTGGGGTCTTCAGGCAGCTCCCCCTCCGCTGGCCCTTTGGTCCGATCCTTGTCAGTCATGGAAGATCCTCTCCCAACGATCTGGTCAACTCTACCGGGATCAGAAAATCCCCCCACCCCCGGAAAAGGACCTGGAGTTAGTTGGAGGCAGCAGGCGAGGAGGGCTCCGCTTGTCGCGCCTCCATGGGACAAAGCAACAGCCTCTCGCCCAACTAACACTCCAAATTACTCACAGACACGCAGTGGCACTGAAGTGTTAATTCAGATGCAAAATTCAGAGCAGTATTAGCAGAGTTTGAAATTATCCATTTCTGTTTGTACAGATAAAACCTGGCACATTATGCACAGTAAATTTACCCACTGCAAAGAATTTCTTTAACTGGCGTTCTTCCAAATCAATTAACGTCTTATTTGTACTGAAAAATTATTATTTTGGGGGAAGATCAAGTTTTCTGTCTAGTGTATGTCAATGGGATTTTTTTTCAGCCTTCGCAGCAGTTTCCTCTCCTCGATGCAAATGTAAGGGTGTAATTCTCATGCCCATGAAAAAGAGCTGCTTGCCCCAAGATCCAGGCAAACAGATGCAGCGCTGAGTGTTTTAGTGGAGTTTTAGTGGAGTTAGATCAAGGCTGAATTTGGTCATAACTCACCAAACATTACCAAATTGTCTTCATCTCAATGCTATGGCAATTCACACCCACATTATTAGACGGTTTCTACTAGCAGGGCTCCAAGCCCGTAACAGCAGAGGACGCTCCTGCCAAATCAGCAGCTAAAGCTACTGGCTGTGTTGGTTGGCATGAACTTCTTTACAGACATTACATTTGCAACTCCTCATTCCCAGTCTAGAAACACCTGGGTTGATACACAGCTCTGTACGCAGAGGAAGAAAGATGGCAGAGCCAGTTTGGAAGCTGGAAGTCAATTTTATTTGAGGCATCAAATATAAATTTTCTAGAGAGTAAATACTGGGGCTTCTTGATTCCTCAAAAGTCAGAGGAGCAACTCAGTTTTGGAACAGCTTCTTAATGGCAGCCCCATTTATAACTTGATTCTACGCCAGGCAAACTTTACTCTTGCATAATGCACCAAACAGAAGGGTGGCGGGGGGAAAAAGAAGGGTTAATTAATCTGACTGAAACCAAGTTGAGGTATCTTGAGCGGAAAACTCAAAATGCTTCTTACGCAGTTCTGCCGTGTGGGCCATGGGTCCATGCACCAAGAGGAGGAAAAGGAAGGAGCTGAACACAGACAGACAGGGGAAAATGAACAAACAAAAACCAAGGAAAGGAATGAGACGTGAGGCTATTTCCAACACAAGAGCCATCTCTTTTCTTTACATTTGACAGGGACTTAATACATATGTTGGCTGTTGACATTAAGGGACAGATATCGGTGGGTATGGACCAGCGTGGCTCCCTTGGCTTATATTAGAGCAACAGCAGTTTACAGCACCAGAAGATGTGGCTCAAAGAGATGAAGTGGATGAGCACATCACACCAAAGACAGAAAGTATAAGCCAACAAATATTGTAAAGTTTATCTTTGATCCCAGAAGATACTTCATTTGGGCAGGGATGCGACAGAATACTGTTCTGTTTAAAAAGTCATGTTTGATCCTTTGCTTAGCAATATAAGCACAGGAGTACAAGGAGCACCAAGTGCTATAATTACAAGCGTGAGGAATACGCATGCCTTATTTCTCTCTTGTAATGGGAGAAGCAAATTACTGACATGTACAGGAACTCCCCACAAGGGATGCAATTACTGACATGACATACAGCACAAGAAATCCTACGACAATGTTGTTACCATGTAAGCAAAGAGGTATTAAATTGGATACCTCGGGCTACCTTGGTTTGGAATCACAAGTCAAGGCGTAGTACAGCCACTGTATGAACTCCTCTCCTGTATGCACAAGCAAGTAGACTAGTAAAACAATGAACATGCGTTTAAAGAGGCCAAAGTCTAAATGCTACTGAATATTGCGGAAGGCCAAGAAAAAATCAAGGTGCTCTGTCCTCGTGTCCCATCTAGCACAGCACTAACACTGAAATGTGTCCACTAATGGAAATGAGATGTCCTTCAACAGTTGCTGAGTAGAGCAGGGAGGCAGGACGGAGTGTAACACAGAGAGGAAAACTGAACATTGCCATGCTACGGAGTATCATAACAGCAGAGAGAGTCTTGTACAATCCTATCTCTAATCTCGCAGAAATTGAGGAAGGACTTCTGCTCTCTGCCATGTCCTTAAGAGGAGAGCTACCCAGTAAGTCAACCTCACACGACCCATGCGAAGTACAGGAGGCCAGCTGGCACTTCACAGATGGAGTGACCTCTAGTATCATACAGAAAAGCACTAACTTCTTCTATCACCTTCAGGGTGGACACAACTTGCCTGTAGACCTGCTGTGATTTAAAAGCAGGACTGAAGCACTGCATAGAGCTCACCCACAAAGCATTCAGAAGCTCATGCCCATATGCTGCTGATACCAGAGCCAGGGCAAATCCTGCTTGATTCATTCCCTTCATGTCTATACTTTAAATAGTCCTGACTCCTGAGGTGGTTGTCTTCCACAGGTCTGAGAAACCAGAGAGCCAGATCTCTCCTTGGAGGCAGGGTCTGATCCGAGGACGGTGTGGTGGGCAGCTGTGGGCCAGATTTTAGTGCAGAGAGGGGCGAAGAAGGTGAACCAAGTCCTCTCTTGATGGGAGAAACCAGGCTCAAGGTCTCCCACCCCTTTGCTTCCCATGGCAGAAGTTAAACCAGAGGAGAGTGCTCCTACCCTCAGCAAAGTACAGAGATGTCATTTTGTGCCTTATCTGATACAAGAGAAGAGAGGAATTTCCTTGTGAGCTCCCAACCCGCCTGTGCCTAGCTGAGCACCACAAAGAGCAGGAGGTCCTTTTAGCCATTATAAAAGAGTTTGAGGCTTTGTCCCAATTGGGCAGCAGAGCTCAAAAGATGAAGAAGAGAGAACACATTCCACCTTTGCAAGCAGAGGGGGACAGCGTAAGTTCCTATTGCGAGACAAAGGACCACGAACCTTCTGAGATGCCAAATCCCACTTCTGCACTACATCCCGTGGGGAGCCTTGTGCCTTCCCAACACTTATCTTGGCTGTGTCGAATACACACGTGCAGAGGGAAGAATTCAGCTGAGGCTTTGGAAGACTCAGCCCCGTGCTTTTCCCCTCGCAGCAGGAGAGGATTCAGAGATTTCTAACGATGCATGACAAACTGTGCCATCTGCTGTCCTTGATAGGCTCTGCTGGGTCTTGGTTTGGGAGGGGAAGAGAAAGGGGGTTGCTCTTTAAAGTGAACTTTGATATCTTTCCTTCTTTCTAATGATACAAAAAAAATGTAAAGTCTTGCATCAGCCACAGTGCAGGTTTTCTCATGCTTCATTATGCTTCATGCTAACAGTGCATGCAAAGAGGTGTAATATGTCACCCTCGGGCCAAAAGCAGACATCAAAAGGTCAAACGGCTCAAATGAGATAAAAATGAAGTGTTTGGGAATATATATCCAATTATTTTTTTTTTCTTTATCTCTTATTATTTTTTTTGTACACAATTCAGGCATTGAAGCCAAACCCCCTTCATCCATGTCACAGGACTGGCTACTTACCTCCTCATTTGGCAATAAAGTTTGCTCTTGACATATTTTGACCAATATCTCTTGTCAAAAAATTACAGCTGAGGTTGCACCTATTCTATGTGAAATCAGCCGATCAAGGGAATTTAATCCAGGTTGTCTGTGTGTGCAACTGCCTTGTGCTTGCATGGAGCAAACACCTTCAGCCAAACCACAGCCGTGGATGTCCACTGGTATCCAGCTGCCTTTGCTGGGAGCTACTTGCAGAAGCCTTTCTGGCTGAACTGAGTCCTTGTCACTGGAGGACCTCAGTGCAATCCAGAAGGTCGAGACTGCTCATGAGACACCACTCGGTTTTGTTTCTCTGGGCAGCATGTGGCTAAAACAGGGGTGTGCAGGCTGAAAAAGGAGAGGTTGGTGCAACCCATGGGGACCCCGCAGCACCCGTCCCCACGGCACGGCGCCACGTGGCGCTGAGATGATGGAGGCCACGGCAGCAGTAGAGCCTGACCCAGAAATTTTGGATTTGGGCTTGGGGCTGCTCGGAGCTCTGGTTCGCAACCATCGGGCACCTCACAAGTCCCACTGGTGTCTGCGGGAGGATGCAGCTGCCAAAAATTAAGCGCAGCATAAGCCTTTTTTAATGGGTGGGAGAAGAGAGATTTCAGCAGCCTTCTGCTGAAAGTACTCTGCTGCTTTCTGGAGCCTCTCAGCCACAGCTCAATACAGAAGAAATACGAAAATTCATTAAAAAAGGAAGCAATTATTAAAAAGAAGTCTTAATGTCCCAGGAGCCTAGTGGGCACGTGCAAACAGGTTTTTAATCTGGCCATCGGTATTAGGAAACTGTAAAAAGGAGGGGGGAGTCATTAACATTAAGCAGATACAGCAACAGACTTGGATTGAAAAAAATAAACATCCCAGTGTGAGGCGATGGGCCTTCTCCCCCTGTATCCATCGATCACCTTCTCCGTGTGCCGGGCACAAGCTTTCACAGGAAAATCTTGCCTCTAGTGAAGGCTTGTGGCACATCTAATTGTATAGGTTAAACACAACAAAATCCAATCAAATATGTATTTTTATTTTCAAATTGAGATGTTTGTGCAGATAACTCAGTTATTTCATTTTTAAAGACTAGTTTTGGGCCTCATAATTTGGCAAGGACAAGAAATGGGAAAAATACTTTTCTGAGAGCATCTTTTTTCCAAGCATAAAGCTTGGGGCTTCTGGAAAATTCTCTTTTTTTTTTTTTTTTTTTTAATCTTTGAGCTAGCTGAGTGGGAAAAGGTAAGCTTTCAATATTCCTTTTACTCACATTCCTTTAGTGAAGATTACTTAGAGCAGCTTAAATAAAAATCAAGAGATTTATCATGTATTAGCTCTTGGGGAGGGAAAGTATATTTAGGGAAAAAAAAATATTTGAGGCTAAGCTTGCTGCATTTAAAAATCACCTACTATTTGTGCTTGGAAAACGACTTTATGGCAAATATTTATACCTGCCTTGGGCTCCAGTCTCAATACCAGGTGAAAATAGAGCTCCACTCACGGCCCTGCTGACCAGACCCCAGAATGCCCTCAAATGGGAACTTCAGTGAAAATATGTTTCTTGTGGCATCAGCTTCAGGTAGAGTTTTACCTAAGGAGAGAACTTCCTAAGGGCGATGAGAAAACCCTCGCTGCCGGACTGAGGGCTGGGTTTGACTCCTGCTCTTTTTTTTGCTTGCAAAAGCACCATCCTTTTTTTTTTTTGAATACGAGTCCCGTGGTTGTAATATTTTACCACAATGTTTTCCTCTGTGGTCGGTAGAGTTGCATCAGCAAGAAAAAGAGACCACTGTGTCCATCGGGTGTGAAACACTTCATTCTTACTTTGCCCACTGAAGTAAACTCATTTCATAGCACGAAGAGCTGCAGAGGCTCCTTCGCTTGTGCGTGGAGTGTTTCATCTTTTGGAAAGTAGATCGTTTATATTGGCTTTGTGGGTAAATATTCCACCTTTTACATTTGAAGAAAGTCTTATAAAATATGAGCTTTTTAAAAGATACATTTTTGCTTTCTAACACCTAGAAGAAGATTGATAACAGAAAATACGCTAGCTGAAGAAACTGATGGTTATTGATGCCTGTATGAAAGTCCCTTTTTTTTCTCCTTTGGCTTGCCTAGTGTGAAAGCTCGTTACTGAAAGTAAATCAGAGCACACCCAGAGTAGCAAGCCCTTCTGAGCCGTGATTTAGCAAGCTGCACTGCTAAGCAATAAATGCCGTCATATAACTGGCATGAAAGGGGTTTGACATTAAGCAAATGAAAAATCCAGAGAAAGCGGCATTTGGTGAATCCTAACCTAGGCGAGTATTGGGGAGATTCTTTGGAAGAATACATGGGTCCTTTGGTTGGATACTTCTTATGCCGGGGAGTTGAAGGGGGCGGGGGACCCACAATCATATCTATCCTGGCAAAGTAAATAAGAAAAAAGACACCAGCAAAATGCATAATGAAGCAACACGAAGAGAAAAGTTGGTCAGAAAAGTTGCAGAAAGAAACAACTGAAAAACAGAACGACAGAGAAAGAGAGAGAGAGACGTTGAAAATACACTCCGCTGGAAACAGGAGGCTCTGTCCTACCACCTGGTTGTCAGTGAAAGCCAGAGTCTTACCCACCCCGGGGTAAGATTTGGAGATTTAGGCACCACCGAAACATCATTAGGAGATCCCCCCACCCCAGATATAACAGGCAACATGCTTTACCCTCTGGAATATATTTGCATGTGTGTAGCAATATCCCATAAAGGTGGTTAGATAGGAAACAACGTGTATTCAGTCTCCTTTGAGTTCCAGTGCTAGAGAACACATCCGCAGCTAGTTCAGAAAAGCATGAGTCGCCGGAGTCGGTGAGATACGCTGCGGCATTGTACAACGCAATGAATGGGAGACATCCATGGCTGGCAAGGTGTCAGGATGAGACACGAGACAGTGTGAACACAACACTGAAAAGAGCACATTACAGACACACCACAGTGACAGAGGCATTAATGATTAAAGAGGAGAGTGCATGTAAACACCCCAGAAATTTGCTTGAATGCACCTTTAAGCCACCAAAGCCCTGGCTACGGGAGGTCATCGCCAGCCCTGCCGAGCCGAGCTGGCAGGGAGAACATAGTGCTTTGATTGCTCATGGAAAGGGAAATAAAAATATCTGTTGTCTTCCGAGCTGGCCTGTGACAACCTCCCTGGGCTCCACCGTACGGGTGCACTGTACTTCTAGCGCCAGTCGGTCATGCCCCAACGCTGCCCATGGCCACCCCAGGCACACACCTCATCTACAGGGTGGCCCTTACAGTTCTACTGGGCAGGCAACCAGCCATGGGACCTCTTGGTGCCCCTCTGGCTATGATGACGAGTGCTTCGAAGGATGACCCCAAGGGGGTCTGCTCCCGTCACCGTCACTGGTCTCCTGCTCAGTGGGGACAGTGAAACCAGTGAAGCTGCCTGGTAGCCCTGGAGCCCAAATCCAGGTACTTCACACTTTTAAAGCAGCTCCTGGTCCTCTTTAACTTCCCTGCACTGGTGTGGATAGCCTAGTCCAGCCTCAGCAACCTCAGTCCACAGGTACAGCTGAGAGGAGAATTCAGTTTAGCCTTTGAAAACTGCTGTTCCTTACCCCAAACCCCCAAAAAATGCAGCCAACAAAACCACTCTGTCTTTGCAGCACATCACCGTGACGGACTGGCAATGGGAGACTTGGGTGGATGGCGAGGCAATCTGCCACACCAGCTCGGGGGGTTGAAAACTGAGGTGTCCTACCTGGAGCCAGTGGAGATGACAACCCCAAGAGCTCACTGCCCACTGCGGAGGCAGCCTGGAGGCCTCGCACTTCAGCTTATCAAAGTTAAGAAATATAAATCCCCTTCTCCTCCTCTTCTCTCTCCAGATTCAGCTACACATCGTGGATCTACAATCATCGAATCTGTACTGAACAGGGGTGAGAGGCTCAATGAGAGGAAATTCTCCAGGATATTTTAGTCTCCATCGCAAGGGAGAATTTACCTTCTGGCTGCACATCTGGAAACGGGAAACGCACAGCGTGCAGCAACGCTGAGAAAGTTACCTCTGCTGCTCGAAGATCCAGAATTGCAGAGTTAAAATGGTCTCTGAGAGATTAATGGGAGAAGAAAGATTCCTCTTTTTCCTAAAACAACTTTCCTATTGCATTCCTGGGGTTCACATTACATGTTTGCATACCCAAACACACTTTTTCGCACGTTTGCTGACTCTGCCAGGGACCTAGATGGGTTTGAAATGAAAGGAAAACTTCTCAAATGCCTTCCAGAGGAAGCTGGGCTGCCACGGCCATCAAGGGAAATACATTCTCCAAGTGTAAAAGTAAACAGTAAATTATTTTGACTGGAGATAGCCTATGGCCAAGCCCTGGCTCTGTTCTGGGTGTCCTTCGAGCTCAGCAGAACTGGGGCTACTTCTGCTGAGCCGACACAGCCGGTGGTGTTGGGGGTTTGGGGTCCGGTGCTCAACGTGGGACATCAGGGCTGAGGGAGGAGTGGTCAGACAAAAAGGTTTAGCTCTCATCCTCTGTTCAGGGGACCAAATTCACTTGGGCTTCTTTGCAGGAGAAATAACTGGGTGATTGTAGCGGAAAAATGAAATTTTAAATGCCCTTCTCGGTTCCATTTGGTCCTTTTTCACGTTTCTTCCCCTATTAAAACTAACTCCTCTCCCCCTAAAATTTGAACACGGAGGCTGAGATGCAGCTCACCTAAACGACACCGACGTTGGCGGGCTGGGATGAGAAATCCCCACCTGCATGTACTTTCAGCAGACTGGACCATCCGAGGAGGGACTGCTCCTAAAATGACAGCATCCCAACGGCGGGAGGAAGGTGCTGCTTCCTCGCTGCCCCCTCTGCCCATCGCAGCAGGGTCACCCCCGGCACACCAGAATTTATTTTGTATCACTCCCAGAAATGTACCAAATTAGCCAGATTAGCCTCAAGACTGGGGGCACCGAACCTTTGCTATCCTGCCAGGAGGACCACAGAGATAACGCACCTGCCTTACCTATGGGATATACGATAATGACAGCAACTCCCAAATTAAAGCCTGGAGGAGGATGAGCCATATTTCATGTGTGTATGTCCTGGGGTGGGCACTAAGGCAGTTTTAGCGACACACCATCACTGTTCGCAGTCCCTGTCCTGCCCATCCCTGCGGGTTCTAGCCACAAGCACCGATGTTTTCCTTGAGGCTTTCTCTTAGGAAGAAAAAGAATAAGTTGGAGCTGCAAAGGAAAGTGTCTCTCTCCTAGGAATACCTCCACAACGAACGAAAAACAGTATGAAAAATAAAGCAAAGAGAGGGGTCCCTTGCCTGGCCTGAAGGTTTTTAATCCGGGAGAGCATGTCCAGGTGACCAGCTGAATACTGCTCGATGACATCCATCACGTCGTAGGGCCGAAGGCTCTCCTTAAACTTGCGCTTGGAGACGAGAAATCTCATAATGCTGCAGGTGATGGGGAGGAAAGGGAAAATATCGTCCCTGAGCTGCAGCCTGACCTGCTTAGCGGCAGATAAAAAGCCCCGCAGGGAGCTGCTTTGCAAGGAAAATGGAATAAATCCCACGGCTGCGGCAATAGGGGAGGGGAAGGGGATTGCGGGGGCTCGCGGCTGAAGCCCTGTCTGCCACGCGGGGTCCCCGATGCCCCTCGGACCATCAGCTGTGCGAATGTCCTCTCGGCACCGCTTTTATAAATGTCAGCATTAGGTCTCAAAGCTGGTGAGAATGATCATTTGGATGCATCCCTGCAGGGGATTTTCCTGTTTCTCCATTTATTCCTTCGCTCAGCAAAAAATCGCCCTTTCTGGCAGTATTTTCTGTAAAGGAGGGCAGGCCACCCAGGGGAAAAACAGCCTGCAGCACAGACATTTCAGCATTTGCCACCTTTGCTTGGACTTTAAATTTCTTTTTTTTCCCCTATTATTATTTATTTTTCCAGACCGCTCCCCCCCCGTCCTTCTCTTACCACACTGCCCTGATGCTGACTTTCAGTCCCGGTGTCAAATCTTCCGTCACAAACTCGCAGTTGCAGCTTTTGTTCTCGTCGGGAATGTCTTCTCCGGGGAGGCTTGCTTCTGGGTTTGGGAGAGGGAGGAATAAAGACAACCTGTTACTATTTCCCATGCCGGTGCCGCGCGAGAAAATGCAAGTCGGATCGCAAACAGCAATCCCAGGGGGAAGCGCCGGAGAGATCTTTGCTGAGCATCCCAACGGGAGACTTTCCCAAGGTGTCTTATGGTGAAATCCAGCAATGCCAACTGCAGCTCTCACAGAATCCCAGAATCCCAGACTGGTGAGGGTTGGAAGGGCCCTCTGGAGCTCCCCCATCCCACCCCCTGCCAGAGCAGGGGCACCTCCAGCAGTGGCACAGGACGGCGTCCAGGCGGGTTTGGGATGGCTCCAGAGGGGGAGACTCCCCCACCTCTCTGGGCAGCCTGTGCCACTGCTCTGCCGCCCTCACAGCAGAGAAGGCCCTCCTCAGGTGGAGATGGAACTGCCGATGGTCACGTTTGTGCCCATTCCCTCTTGTTCTATGCTCTCGTCCATCTCTACACGCCTGGCTCCTCCTCCTTTCCCCATCCCAATACACATAAATATATACATTATCACGGGTGTCAACAGGGGTTTTCTTATCTCTTATTACACTCCAAGCTAAAGGACTGGAAGGGGAAGGAGACCTATGTAGGCACCCTGCCTGGCAGCTCTGCCCTTCCTGGGTGGAGACAGAGAAGATGTTGGGGCTGGACGGGGCTTCGGGGTCCAGCTCAGCGTCCCAAGTCCTCACCTTCTGAGTTTTGCCGTGACGCCGCTCCCTTGATGCGGAAAGCTTGCCGGGCTCGGCTGCGGTCTCCGAAGCTCCAGCTCTTGGGGACTTTGCTCGGGCTGTCCTCGATGCTCTGGTCAGCGCTGGGGGACCTCCGGATGCCCTGAGCCTGTGGAGAGCCTTTCCCTTTGGTGCCAGCACCGCGGGGACTGGAGAAGACACGATCTTTCAAACTGACCTTCTGACTGTTCAGAGAAACACGTTGAAACAAAGACAAAAAGGAGACAGCAGGAGGAGTCATTCTGGAAACCACGCAGTCCTTCCCCACCAGCCATTAGAAACCAAGAGCACTTCCAAGCAGCAGTGAGATGTAGTTTTGCTGTTGGCTTTTTTTTTTTTTAAAAATGTATATTTCTCTTTTTTTTTTTTCTTTAAAGAATGCATTGTAGAAATGTTTCCGCCACAATGAGTGAAATGGGAATGATTATTAAGAGAGAGAAAATAATGAGGACTTAAACAGAAGCCCCTCGTGGGATGCCGGGGCTGGCGGGACAGAATGACGATAAACAATGGAGTTATGATTCCTTAAATCACTGATCGGCTCCGATCACGAGCGAGGAAGCTTTTCTTTCACAACTGCCTTCCAAAACCCTATATCTAATAAAAAAATACTAATTAAAAAAAGCCTTTGTCTTAAACTTTTAACTTTCTTGGAACCACTTCACTTCTGGCACTCAGACCTGTCCTTTCCCTTTCTTCAACTCCTATATTTCCTCCCTCTTAAAACATGATCTGCTCCTTTTATATATTCTGAAGAGTTCCTCTTTTTCCAGTCATATATTTAAATACTTAAATACAAACAATTAAATGTGCAACTCCTTTGTACCCTATAAAGATTCAATCTAAAAGCTAGCTAACATCTATCTGCAGGTCTGCTACGGGTGCCATAAACATGCAAAGAGAAATTTTACAACTTTGGAATATGGCATTTTATTGCTGTTTTTCTATTAGAATCCCACTTCTTTAAAACCTTGGAATTATGGTTTGAAAAAAAGATCGCTCCAGACACAGAGATGATCTCACTGAGAAACAGTCTGCTGACCACCCAGCTCTAATTATTTTCCAAATTCTGAACTTTGTAATGAAAAACCTTCGCCCAAATCAAGATGATGAATTTTCACATGAGAATTGCAAAACAAAAAGATTTTGTGAATCTTTATGAAAGGGCAAACTTCATTGCCCATTCAAAGGCAGCACTGGGGAAACCAAACTGCAAACAGTTTTGGGTAATTTGATGTTTTCTGAACAGCAATTGATTATTAAAATACACTAATAGAGGTTGGTCAACGAGTGCAAGGCATATGCACATATAGCCAATATTTTTTGTATGGGTGAATCAAAACTGAGTAAAAACACGGATTTAATTCCCAATACTCTGTACCATTGGAGTACCCACTTATCGTTTTGCTGCAAATACTCTGACTCAATTTGCGGGAAGAACGTTGCAGGAATTCTGATTTCCACATCGGATTTCCAGGTCACCAACCAAAGACCTGGGTTGGTTGAGGTTTTTTTCTGTCTCTCAGCAACGCCACCTCAAAACTCAGAGCCAAACAGTCCTCCTTTGCCTTCCAAACTGGCACAAGGTTCTTCAGTCAGAATTTAGCTGCTGATATTTGAAGCAAAGCGAAACCCAGCTCCCTTTTCCCCAGCGGTATCAGCCGCGCTGTGCTGACGGGAACAGACATTTGTTTTTGTCAGGAAAGGCAGAAGACGTGACTCGAAGACACACAGGGAGCAGATCTGTTGAGTAAGAAGGTGCTATTTTTACAAAGTCACTTTACATTGCGACACGTCGAACATTTACGGGGGGAGAAAGGTGCTTAGGCAGCATTTTCCGGAGCTGCGCGGCATGATGCCATGTGATGCTGATGGACGTTCCCCAGGGAGCGGGGAGCGCAGCTCCTGGGCTGCAGGGCAGGGCTTCCTGCAGCCATTGGCCGGGCAACAATTTCATATTGAAAGATACATTTGAGAGAAAATAAAATTTGGTCATGACCAAGTTAGAAAAGGCGGAATTCTTCCAATTAATGATGCATTTTTAATTCAGATACGTACTGGAGATTTCATTTCCAGCGTGCTGCCCACCTGCAGGGTCTGCCTGAAAGCCGTGGGACCGACAGATGTTCAGCACAGCTGAAAATCAGATCAAAGGTACAAATCCACACGGAAATCTAGGAACATGCGTGTGCCTAAATACCTTTCTGAATGTAAGCCTTAGTCACTAAAGCTACCAAAATCATCGAACATAATGAGCCAAATGTTTCAAAGCAATTCTCATTCTGTGTTCCTTGGATTAGAAACCAGATATACCAGATTGAAAATTTATTTGTCATTTAATCCTAAATAGGCCAATTGGATTTTTTTGTTTTTCTTTATTTTAGTTGATTTTACAGAAGAATATTCCTGGATTCTACTGCGTTTCAGTAGTACTAATAGTTTGAACTACCTGGTCTTTTTTAAACGTAAGTTTTTTTAAAAACGAATCAGCAACATACCAATATTCAGAATTCAAAGCAATCTCTTTATGCCTTATCCTCTGCTGAGTTGCTCCCGTCACCGATCTCGGTGTAAAACCCGTTGCCCCTCACTGAGTAAATCGGGGCCTTTTCTATGGGGCCCCTTCTCCATTGCCACAATAAATGGGCTGAAAACGTTTGCAAGAATCACAAAAGGCAAAAAAAGAAAGCATTGAACTCCGTGAGGAATATGAGCAAAAGGTGTTTCAAGCCTGACAGCACGAGGTGCGACACTTTTACATATTAAAAAAAATCGCTTAGAAATCTGATGAACAAATAAGATCTGGGTGGGTTTTGTTCCTGAGTACTCACTACTCAGAAAAAAACCCGACACCTGACGTAACTTCTTTGTTTTAACACAGACGACATGAGACAACGTGAACAATTCATTGAATTTTTCTTTCTGCCATGCAATTCTCTCATTGGACATGACACCTGGAACCACATGCAAGTACAGTCCCTGCAGAGGAGGATGCTGTTGGGGTCTGCAGGAGCTGGTAGGAAAGAGTCCAAAGGAAAAATAGACATATATAGAGATATATGTTGTCAGCTAATCCAAGATCATGTTCTCATTCAACCAGAAAGTCATGCAGAGTGACGCAGGGTGTCTCGGAGGAGTGGTCTTGAGATGTCACTCGGGCAGATGGCAAATGAGCCTCAGTGGGGTGGAAAGTGTCGGTGTGGGTGACATGGAGATGAGGAGAGCGGTAACCCAGCCACACACGACAACATGAACTGAAGCTTGCAAGTGTGATAGCTAAGAGCGGGGCGAGCACGGGGCAGGCGCCCTGCTCGATCCAGAGGGAAGGGAAGGGAAAGGAAAGAAAACTGTGGCTTTGCAACCAGAGACAAAAGATCATGGGAAGCTGTGACAGCGTAATGGGGCAGGCTTTAGATACCAGGTCTTCATAACCACTTTCAGTTGGCACCTATTAAAAACATGTTCGATAACAAATAAAATTAAAATGATAATGTTTCCAGGCTGACTTTGGGGAAGGTTTACAAAACTTTCAGCTTTTGACTTGAATTTAACAAAGGATAGAAACTGAGTTGACTTTTTCTCTGCTGCCAGTCAATGAAACGAGAGCCCGTGCTGGACAAACACGTAAGGACCGATCCAGGGTCCCACAGCCGGTAGAAAGATGCTCGCTGCACTAGTGGGCTTTGCATTTAGGTTCATGTAGGTCCACGAGCCCAGCACTCAGCAGCAAAACACATATGAACTAACCTTCAAACGAGCTGCCATCAGCCTCCTTAGGACGCTGGGGGTTTGAGCTCCTGTTTGAAACCCTCTGGTCTGGGCTTCATTCCACAGCCCTCTAACAGTATTAAATCAGCACTTTTTAAAAATGTGGACTCATTACGTTAGCAGTAATTTTGGATCGATATAAAGTATCACCTGTAACGTCTTGTCATTGATTTTAAAGTACGCTTGAGCAATTGTTTCATTTTCTCCTTTCATTTTGGAGGCAGCAAACGATAGCCAAGCTGAGCTGGGCTAGCATGGGCTCAGATCCTCTTCTGCGTCCGAACTCAACCAGTAACAGTGTTCATTCTTCTGAGAAGCCATGGCCAGGAGAAAGAGGTTATCTATCTCCTGTCGGGAAACGAGGCTGGATTTTAATCCAGAGTTTGTGCTGAGCTCACAGCGTATGGGAACCGCTCGTTAAAACCAGGCAGGAGAGCCAGGAGTGAATGAGAGCCTTTGTGGCTATCACTGGGCTCCAGTCTGGTCACAGGTGTGAATAAGAGGCAGAAACCAGTTACTGGAGAGATGAAGGAAAGGAAAATACATCTGTGTGCAACACTTGCCATGACTAGAGCAGAAATCAAGAGAGGACCAGGCTCAAGCCCGGTTTGCTTCCACTGATTTCAGAAAAGCCATTGGCAAAGGTGAATTCAGCCCAGAGAACGGAGTTTCTAGAACCAGAGGAACCTGGGCATCAGGAAAAACAAAAAGTCAGCCAAGGATCAAAGTCATGGTGAGCAATCCTTCCTCGTCCACAACCACGGTGTTAGACTTGGGTTGAAGGGAGTCACTGAAATCATACCGGGATGGATCAGAGCTGCACCATCCCCACAGCCACCACCTAAGCCTGTCCGAGCATGGGGCCTCGTGTGAGTGAAGGGACACTGGAGCCAGACACATGTCTTTAACCTCGGCCTTTGGTATTTTGCAGCATTGCTGTTATAATCACCCCTCTCTTCCTAGCACACAGCCTTTTTTTTTTTCCACAAACTGATGTTGAGCTGTCAAACCCCACGCCACGCATATCCTGCATCTTCTCGCGACCTTTCGCTATTCGCCAGCTCAGCTCTTCTGCATTTCGGGAGCAAAGCAAAACAGCTCGATTGCATCTGTGAGCTGGCTGATTATTCCTAAACAAGGCTTTAAGAAATACGCTACACCCAGACCCGCAGGCCGGTCAAGGGCTCTGCAAACGCCTTTCCTTCACTGGTCTGTGTGCCACTCCTCCCCACTGCCAGGGCTCCGTGGTGCCTTCATCTCTCTGAGTAGACGCCAGGAAAGTCTCTTACAAAGCAGAATATGATAGACCTGATAATCTGGCTTGGTATAGTTACATTACTGCCTAAAAATGCATGCATTATTACTTTTATTGACTAGAGATCATTGGTTTAGTACATTAAGAAACCACAGCTTCTAAGGAGTTCTCTATTAATTTACCTACTTTGAGTTTTCCATGATTGCCTCATCGTTTGCTGTTATTTTGTTATATGCATCCTAGATGAGGGCTTTTAGCACTCAGCCTTAGATGCATCAAAGTGCTGGCATCTGCCCCTAGGAGTTTGTGCAGTGGGGGATGGCAGGCAGGTAGCCCAAGGGCCCAGGAAAACAAGACATTTGAATTATTTTTATGTCCCTTCAAGGTTAACCTATAGTTTTACTGAGGCACAGCGTGTAAAACACTACATTCAGGATGGATGCAGGTATCAAAGATGCTCTTGTAGCTAATCTGAAGTTCAAGACTCCTTTTTGACTGGAAGAACCACAGTCTGTAACCCTCCTTCTCAGGGTCTCCAATGGATTAGGACGATCTTGAGACAACAATTTGTATCGCCCTCCCTTTCCCTTGCAGAACTCAAGATGGGACGGGGGGATGAAATGAGGACCACAGTGGGAAGGAATTCAGTAGAAAATAGAAAAAAAATTATACTGGCTTTACCAACTAAAAATTCATGCCTGGGAAGACATGCAAGGAAGACATTAAGATCAGAGTGGCTGATTTTCCAGAAAACAGAACTGGACGTGGACAGGTGAGAGGACAGCATTACGAAGATCACTGCTTGCTTTAATTTCTGCCAAAAACAACCTCAACATTAAGCAGTTGAAAGGAGCCTTTCTCTGGGGAGGAATCCCTGCCTGCACTACGCCTCTGCCTCCAAGGATAGAACAACCTCACCTGGCAAACGGAAACACCACAGAAGTCATGATAATTTTTTTTTTTTTTTTCAGCTAGACTATACCAAATCTTTGCCACTTGGAAATGTATTGAAATGCTGTCTGTGCAACAGATGATCACCCAATATTTAACCCAGACCTTTCAAGGATAAACTTCTAGGAAGGCCACAGTACCATCAAAACACGTAGCAGGAGGCTAACTCAAAGATTCAGGCTATTTATCCAGGTACAAGCGATTTCCTACTGTGGAGAACTGCTTATTGCGAAACCTAGGTCATGTCCCCTTCCTCTTTGTTACCCATTCGGAGATGGGATTTACCACACTACATCTGAGCTTCTGGTACACGCACGTCTCAGGCATGAGCCTTAGCCTCTAGACTGACAGATAATAAAAATAGCCAGCGGGGAAAAAAATAGCAAGAAAAGAAAAGATACAAGTTGGAACAATTAATGGAGAAAATCAGAGATACATATACTTTTGAAACTGTAGTTTGTTGGCTTTCTGAGGGAGACAGAGACTGGTGATTTTGAGAATTAAAACGGACTCCAAAAAAAAGAGCATGCAAAAATCCAATTTCACAAACATGCGGCATCGCTCGGTGCCCTGCCACTCCTGGGCTGCCACCTGCCCGGCTGCGGGGGGAAGAGCTGATGGGGTTCACCTGCCAGCATTCACAGCATGCAAACTCCGGGCATTGCTAATTCAAGAAGGTGCACGTTTGCTGCTGAGAAGCAGTGTCTGGGGCCGGGGGAAGAGGCTCTTCCAGTGCAGGCGTGGAAGTAGACGCCGTATTTATGCATGAGTAAAATAAGACATATGTATCTGCGTACCCTTACGGCCATCAGTTGGGTGCACTAAGGGATGCTCATTGGGAATTCTCTGAAGCCGCCTAACAATTGTCAGCTTGATGAAAAAGATGAAAACACTGGCCCGTACGAAACCCTCTGTTCTAGCTATCTGTTCCCCACGGGATCTAGAAACAGAACCATTCACAATGCCAACGTCAATGCTAAGGGGAACCCGTATCCCCTATGTCTGGTGGGACAGGCTGAGATTAGTCCTTCTCTAGCTGCGTAGTAGAGGTGCTAGACAGGCAAGCCGTGGCTTCCAAAGGCCACAAGACTAGGAAAGGTCAATTTGTAGTGTTCAGAGAGCCAAAGGAACGGTGATTGAGCAGAGGTAGGAAGCTGGTATTTCTCATGCTACTAACTTGATATTGCTCTACAGTGCAATTCAATTTGCAAGGATTCCCTGGACCTTGAGGAGGGATGGAGCGATGGGGAGGAAGGGGTCTTTTTAAAAAAGAAAAAAAATAAAATTTTTAATTTTTAAAAAAAATTTCCATCATTTATTAAACTTCAGTTCCTGGCCTCCGTCTTTGCCGAGCAGACACTGGCTGGCTAGCCCAGACCAAATCCCCATCCTCGTCTCTTTGATTCACGCGTTCCGCGTGATTAGCAGAGAAGGAAGCCTCTAATTTCTGAGCGGGCAATGGGGAGGCTCTTTCACCTTTTTTTACTCATCTAGTACCTCTATTAAGCAGAGAAGTGATCAGAACGGGTGGTAGCAGGGTAGAGGGAGAATGAGCCGTGCAGCTTTTGATTAGTTCCGTGCGACGCATTTCCCGTGGTACCTAGAGTTTCCTGAGCAGCATCCGCATAGTGACTCTCTGCACGGTTTGCTTTTACTGGAAATGAGGGGAGAGTAAAAATTAGACCTGGAAGCAAATGCCAGACAGGAAACTTCTGATTACTGACTCTAGGTTTAAAAGACAGGTGTTCTGAGGGCCGGGTTCATGGCAGGATTTTTCTGTTTGAGCGTTAAATGGGGAAAAAAAATAAAAATCAAAAGGGTTTTCTGAAATTTGTCTCGCTGCGGTCAATAAATGTCATTATTAGAAATGACGTATTCTGCATTGAATTGGTGGCGTCAGTTCATCTACAGTTGACTAAGTCCTGCAGGAAGATTTTTGCATCTGCCTTGGAAACAAAAAGTACTCTCTTCTTCCTCTAAACAGATAAAAAAGACTTTTTTTTTTTCAAATGTCTAAGCTATGGAGAGCCAAAACAACTTGTTTTGTTCAACAACATCCATAAGGTTCAAATTTCTTCTTTTTTTTTTTTTTTCAAAAAAAACCCTCACAAAGAGAGCTAGTTCATCTGCGAATTATTTGCACTTCTCACACAGGAAATAGCATTATATTAAGCCTGGCGTTTAAAAAAAAATTAAAAAAAAAGCTAAACCTGGGGTGTGGTGCAGTCCCTTATGGGAAGGGATTTGAAAATCTGTGCTCACGCCTCTGTTTTTCGTAACGCTTTTTAGACAGGCCCTACCACCTCTGGGGAGTCACTGGCTCTGCTGAGGCACCGCCACAGCTCCCGGGAGCCCACCCCAAATCTCTGCCGAGGCACTGCCCTGCCAGAAGATCGCCACCGCGACCAGGGTCCTCCACGCCATGGAGCAGCCCTCTACCTGCGGAAGGGTGATGATGTGGCCCCCATCGCCCCACCTGGCCACCAGTGGGCATCGTCGCTTGCCGAGTTCACGGACAGACTGAAAAGGCTGAAGGGCAGAAAAACCCAACCTCATTTTACGCCTGAACTCGGCAATCAGAGGAGCTCGCGGGCACACGCAGAAGGAATTTGCAGGAATTCTTTCTGCTTCGTGGCATCCCGTGCAAGCTCAGCCGACGGCCCCCCTCTCCATCCTGGGGATTCCTCAGGTACCCGCAACGGGACCCCGCATCCCCAGGGAGCGCCGGGGACCCACCGGTGGTGCTACCGGGGCGGTTCTGGAGCTGGGGTCTGAGCATCGTGGCGTGGGAATGGGATATTCAGCATGCAGAGCCTCAGGGAGACACGGGGGTTATTCTCCTCTTAGTCTCCTCTGCAGTCCCTACGGAAAGATGCAGTCGCTTCTGTGCAAATAATCCGCTCCCCTAAAGGCAACTGATTATTTCCAGATTACTCTCGGTCCCAGCATGAGTCTCTGATACCAGTTGAATCGGTTAGAAGGTCAAACGCCAACCCAGGCTACTGTGGCCCATCAGGCTCCTGTGATTGACACCGGTTTCCATGGGCAGTAGCGGTTCGGGACACCTCGGACATCCTAGGCTGGATGAGCAGGGGCCCACTGAGTCAACCAAAGGCATCCTCCAGTGTGTACAAAAGCCTTAATCACACCCCTGGACAGAGATATTAATGTAGTGTGTATCTCAGACAGACATATACATACATTGATATATAGATAGATATACGCACAGATATACACACACATTACGAGGCGGCCCAGTCCAGCATTCACTCAACGTAATGGCCAAGGTCTTGCTGAGCTCATTAGTGCCAAGGACAAACCACAGCTGAGGACCACCTTCCAAAGAGGTTCCTCTCATTACCTACAGGACTGAACTCATGCTGGACAAAGTAATCTGAGTTTTAGCTTTCCAGTTCCCTGGAATCCTTCTGTTTCTTTTTCTCTGATATTAACGTATTATCATGATAATTTGGTTCCTTAATTTTTAGCTTCTCACCCAATCGTATTTTGGAAAATACAAGAGGAACAAATGTGGTCACAGATGCTTTCAGATGTTGACCAAACCATCTGTTAAAGAGCATCAGCAGCACACATTTCATATAGGAGCCTCCGTAGTCCCGGCTACCCGTACCTTTGCCTTTTGGACATTACAATCAGAAGACAAAATAAACAGAGACGAGATGCCACAGCGAATTTCCAGCCTGATTAACACGGGAATAATCACACCCCGTTACCACTCTGATTTACGGGCTTTGTGCAGCAAAAGGGGTGAGAAAAGCCCCACGAGAGAGCAAGCCCTCCTGCCCGGGGGTTATAAGCCAGAGAGGACTCATAGCTGGACCCTGCAGGAGAGCGGTGTGATCTCGGAGGTGTGATGGGCACTACCTGCTCCTGCAGCGGCCACCAGCCCAGGGGAGGGCAGGGGCTGCTTCTCCTGGCTGAGGCAGATGGTAGGGTGGACATAGCGCCCAAAGCGACGGGCAACAGAGGAGGGTCTGTCAGCAGCTTTTTAAAAAGGGACACAGCCTGAGCTCCACGTCACCGGGAGGTGAGCTCCGGTCCCCCCCGAGCAGGTCAGCACACAGCGTCCCGGCACTCGGTCAGAGATGGAGGCAGACAAGCTCGCGGTGGAAAACAAACCAGAAATGATAGAGAAAGGACGTAACCTGCCTCTCAGATCGGCCGTCCCATGTCACGCCGAGTCCAAATCAAAAAGCACCCGAGTCATTCCAGGTGACCCCAAGCCTCCGCCACGCTAACCCCATGGCCTCCCCATGCCCTCCCGCCCCGGGCAGCAGCTCTCCGGGTGCTGTCTGGGCAGAAAACAGCATCGCAGTCAGAGGGTATGACCCCGAAAGCTGCCCCGCGCACTGGTGGGGCGTTTGGGATGCTCCTGACCTCGCAAGGCAATGCTGGTCTTGCACAGCACGTTCCCACGAGCCGTGCCAGCACCCCTTCTCTAACTGAAAATATATTAAGATGCAAAATAGTGGGGAAAAAAAAAACATTTCCATTCTGTTTGCTGTAAGGACTTTGCCGTGTATGGGTTATGGAAAGAGGGATAGAGGAAATCAGCCACTCCTACACTCCCCTGCCATGGGAGGAAGATCCAGCTATCTCCAGGTGAGAGACCGCCTTTCCTTACATCGATGGAAATGGAAAGTGGTAAATCCTTTCCCAGCTGAAGCAATGCAAGTGTGGTGCTGGGGTCTGTTATGAGAGAAGATTCATGCCGAGGAGTTTCCCAAGTGACACAGTCATCAGCGACAGACCACGGCTGGATGATTAACCGATGGGTGGGCGGAGAAACAGGACAAGTTTTCTTTTCTAAGGGCGGGATGACACACCGAGCATCATTGTCAGCCTGTTGGAAATCAAAGCGCGTGGGAGATTTGGGATGTGAATGTAAAAGATCCAGCAACTTTTATTTGGGAAAATACCTGATTTGGGCACCCCTGAATATAGGGGCCACTGTGGGAAATTTCTTCCTGAAGGTCTGAGATGTACCAGGTGGAAAAGGGCAGCGGGAGCAGGCAGAATTGATATCGCCCTAACAAAACACAGAGGCAAAGAGCTTTGGTTCTGCTATAGCAGCTGAACTGAGTAATACAGCAATTAGTGCCATGTACACGGCAGCCGCGGACCCTCGGCTTAAGGGTCTGGTTTAACATCATACGATGGAGGGCAACAAAACCCTCAGTGTCACAAGAGGGAGATGCACTACAGGAGCAGGAAAGCAGCATTTGAAAATGACCCCGACGAAGGAGTTATATATAGTGAAAAGTACTCTGAAAAAGGGCAGGGAAAGGCTATATTTGCTTCTTTCTGTGACACGAGATTAAGAAAGCAACGTAGAAAATTAATGTAGAAAGGGAAAAATTGCAACCTCTACAAAGAACTATATCCAACCTAGTGTTTTAACTGGTGCAAATGAACCCCGCAAGACGGGACTGAGATTCAAAAATAATAAATAAGACTACTGCCTCAGAAATAAGAGCAGTACCTGCGACTGCAGGGATGCTGGCTGGCGTGACCCTACGAGGGACCGTCCGTCCTAAGATTTCTTCGGCTGTGGAGCCGATCGGGTTGAAAAGAGAATTTGTCTCATTGCGCAGTCATGTGCCTGTGAGAAATGCGGATCGACCCTTTGATGCATCCAAAGCATGTCACTGGCCGAGCCAGGGCAGCGGAGCAGCCAGGCCCCGGGGATGAAACGCTGAACCTCCTGATGCCACCAGCGGGCGAGGTGGCCGAGGTTTCAGCCTTGGTCTGCTCCCAGTCAGCGCTTCCCATGTAATGCTCCCGGCTTTAATAAAGCTGGAGGGAGGCTGCCTTCGCTCTCGCTACACAGGCTGAGACCCCACGTAGGGAAAAGAAAAAAAATAAATTCTGGATAGTTGAAACATGATCTTGGCGATTGGGATCATTTGGTAGGAAAGGGGATGGAATGCTACGCAGGTTCTGCTTGCAAAGAAAAGCTCAAATGAAAGACAGAAAAAAGGGGGGGGGGAGGAAAGAAGGATGACAATTTCCTCCCTTTACTCAGCACCATATCTACCCAGATATCTTTGGTTGGATTTAATGCCAGGGAAAAATTAGTTTCTGGCCTCTTACAAGCTAAAAGGCACAGCAGAGAGTTACATCTGCAAAATGCCAGGCTCCAGTTATGCTTCTGGAAAACATACTCATTGTTTGCAATATTTAGGCTGTAAGCTGTGTTTTGAGATATGAGATGGAAGATCTGAAAGCCAAGCAGATGATCTCCGCAGATCATCAGTTCTGCGTCTTGCCGCCCAAGAAAAAAAAAGAGATTCAGCCCCAGAACTATTTCTTAAAAGAACTGGGAAAATATAAGACCAAAAAAAAATAAAAAATCCAGAATTAAATACTTCTAAGGGGATGAAAAGTATCCTAAGATTATCCCAAATACCAGCCCTGTTGCTTTCCCTGGGATGTGTGAACAGAGAAAAGCTCTCCCCTAGGTGAGATTTACGGCTGGCCTTGGAAGGTGCTCGCCACGTCTCAGAGGGCGCCCGGCCGAGCACGCTCTGCGTGGCGGACTCCAGGCGTGGAGGGAAGACGGAGCGGGGACCGTGCTTCATCCAGAGGTTGTGAGGCCAAAAGGAATGGGGTGGAGAAAGGGTGTCTCTGCCATGCAACGTGGTGCCGTGTCAGAGAGCCCTCCTGTGTCCCATGGAGCAGCAGGTCCCATGCAGCCCCGTGCGGTGCCCTGCAGCGAGAGGAGCTCGGGAGAAGTTGCTAACTCGGTGACACGGTGATGGCTTCGTGTTCCCGTGTCACCCCCGCCTAGCACGGCGCTGGGTGACGGAGACATAGGCAAAGCATCACCTACCCATCGGCACTCATCGAGCCTGCGTTATACTGTTTCAGCTACGATTCCAGCAACAAAAGAACAACAACAACAAAAAAAAAAAGCAGCATCAACCAAAGCCCTGCCGTCACCCCGGAGAAGTGTCTGCCAGCTCTGCCCGTGCTGCCCACCGCTCTCTCGAGCCCCCACAGCCTCCCTATCCTCGCAGCTACAGCCCGAGGCAGACTGGAAGGAAGACATGATTTAAGGTCCAGCGTACACGGAGAAAACATCGGACTGCCACAGCACAGAAAAAGCACGTTAATACCTAGAATGCTTCCCTCGATGGCGCCACGACATGGTACACACACGCACACACGTACATAGAAATCTACAGGGAATGCATGGGAATGGCGTGTTGGCAGTGATACAGACCTTGGCGATGGTTCGGGCTGCTGCTCTTTCCTTTAAACAGAAGCAATAGTACATTAGCATGGTGTCAGGTGGCAAAAGATGTTGCTGCTTCACTGTTAAAACATAACGAAAGGACAATACCAAACAATACAACTAAGTGGAAGTTGTGGACAGAAGAGAGGGAAAGGAGCACTTAATTCCTGGAGTTTCTGGCCCGGACAGAAGATCACTGGAGACTCACACAACCTCAGAGAAGACACATACAACGCACAGGGTTGAAGAGTTTACCCCAACCCATCCTTGTCCCGAGGCGTGACTGGGACACCTGATGGTCGTGTGATTTGTGTGAGCACAGGAGGACTTCTGTGGGCTCAGAGAGCGGCCCCCTTCCTTTGGGAATGCACCGCCCTGTCTTGTTTCTGCGCACAGGGAAGAGGCCTTGAATGGCTCCCGTCACCCCGCTGCATTTGCTTTTCCTTCCCGGCCATGGGGACCGAGCTGATGTCAGCTCTCGTGACGCGTGGCTTCACCCTGCAGCGCTAACGCGTGGTGTCGGGGGACACCAGTGGGAAGGAGGACGGAGCTGCTGCCCTGACGCCCTGACACCTCAGGTGGGGCTTCTGCCTCCAAAGCCTTTGGCAGCTACTGTGCCAAAGTAGTTGGCAAAGGCTACGCGGAGGGAGTGGGACGCCACAACTTCTGTATGCGGTTTCCTACCGAGAACCCAAACCACTTGATTGCCCTGAAAAATCGTTGATATTGAGGACAAAGTGAGCCGAAAACCTGCAAAAGGGTGGGAGTAACACTGCAAGCCAAGCTAAGGCCACACTGAAATAAAAATCTCACCTCCACTGACAAGGCACTTTGGTGGCATTTCCCTCCAGCAATGAGGAGAAGGGGCTCTGCCTTCATCTACTCTCACTCACGGGTTCTTCACCCTGGGAAACTGCATTTATTCTGGAGCCCCGAAGCAGCTTTGCCCCTGCAGCCCCACAAGAGAGGGAGCAGAGTGTGTTTCTCACCAGAGAGTCTAAGGGACAAACCGGACTGCGAGAAGACCTGGGCAGGAGGAGCTCGATTCCCTCTGAGCGTGATGCTGTCCCAGCCCTGGCCCTGCCTCCACCCAGCAGTGACCCCTGAGACCTGCCCAGACCCCAAACCCTCTCCCTTAGGCTGAAGGCAGCAGCCTGGAGAGACTTTAAAAAAAAAACAAAAACCTTAAAAAAAAAAATACGCCCTCCGCTCCTTGCCTAGGCAAGCTTGGAATGCCAGCCTCAGTCACTAGCTCAAACGCTTATGTTTTACAGTTTGCAGTCTGCCCCACGGGTCTACAGATGTCCACTCTCCGCAGAGAGACGCAGCCCAGGGCAGGTCCCATCCCACACCTCCCCAGCCGGCATCTCTCCATCCCTCCCAGGGTCTGCACGCTCCCCATTCCCCACATGGGGCAGCCTCACCTGCTTAAAAAAACCAACCCCAGAATTACCCCTCCTGAGCACAGCTTTAAGCTGCAGGACTCCTGGCCTTCTGCGGCAACGCTGGATACCTCGCCCCAGCAAATTTAGGAAAAATGTCTCACAGCTCCGACCTTGCCCGCTCTCGGGGGAGGCGAGGGAAGGCTGGAGGGACCAGAGAAGGAATTAACACACGGTGGGCGTGAGTCTCCTCCGAGGGTGGTGAAGAGCAGAAAGGTCAGAGGAACACTGGGAAAACTACCTCAATGAGACCCTTTGAAAATACGATTTTGCGTTTTCAGTCGAGCACTGTAACATTACTCCAGAGCCGAGTTAGGCTGAAAAAATTCATGTATGGCATGGGAGAGGGATGGGGAGGAGGTCACTGAATGACCCCTGGGGCACCAGCTGCCAAAACCTCTTACACCTTCAAGGCTGTCCATATATAAAAGGCAGAAAGGAAAAAAAAAAAAACAACAAAAGAAAAAAGAAAAAAAACCAAAACAAACCAACCAAAAATTAAAAAAAAAAAAGAAAAAAGAAAAAGGTTGCAAAGTGTGTGCTTTCCAAGCTCTCTTAACTCTGCTGCTAACCTGAATGTCAGTCCCGATTTGCTCTTCAGGTTCCTCAGGAGCTCCAGCTGGTTCAGAGGAGGGATAAGCCTAAAGGAAGAAAATAAAGACCATTAATATTCCGGCAGAGCTGATTTTGGACCCTCCTGTCTCAGAACCTTCCCCCGCTGCCCCGTCCTTTCAACTAGAACCACCTTTGTGCCACCAACTGCAACCGGGGGACAGCCTGGGAAGGATGGAGAGGTGTTTGGCTGCTACTTCCAACAGTGTCCTAAGGCAGAGCGGTGGGGGGGGAGAGAGAGAGTGACAGCAAGAGAGAGAGAGAAACTTGTCTGCACCACCGGATTTTGAACCTCCCCAAAACCAAGCGGCTGCCAGGGTTTCTGAGCAGCAACGGTGGTGTTTTGGCACCAGAGCTGTTTCACCACCGGTAGTTTAGCGGTTGACATTGCTTTGTGTGGAGCTTCGGCTGCGTATTAAGTGGGGAGAAGCTCCAGTTTCAGAGGCAAATGGGAAAACTCAACCCTTATGCTCTTGGGAATGTGGGGAGGCATGGCAGGGAGAGCTTATAGGGCAGAGAAAATCGGGACCTGAGGTCTGGAGCATCACAGGAGAAACACCAGTGAGCTCTGGGGTCAAGTTTAGCCAATTCCCTACCATCCGTGTTAGGTTTTGCCCCAAAATGAGGCAAAACGAGGCATCATTGCCTTCTGGATCAGGAAGGAAACATGGGTTTCCTTCTCTTCTCAGGAAGAAAAAGAACCTGACAATGGGAATCCTGGTTAATAATTAAAAAAAAAAAACAACCAAACAATGAACAAACACCCTGCTGCCTACACTGCTTTTGTGCTAAAAGCCACGGAATGAGCTCCCACATCCACTTTTGCTTTCTTCCCTCGGACCCTGGGAGACTGGGGCTCACTCCGTACGTATTTAACGCTGATATTCACAGTCAGGTTGTCAACCAAGAGAGAGGTGAGCGGGAGGTGTCGGGGAAAGGACGGAGAACGCTGCACGGGGTTGGGAAGAGCAGCATCTACTTAAGAGCGCGCTTGGGGACCCCGCGTTCGGGGTCAAGGCCAAGGGGGCTCATCCCACGGCTTGTCGCAAACTCCCTTCTGGGCCACCAGCGTGCCCTTGTCAAACTGTCAAAGTGTCACACGCCATCGCTGTGCCAAGAGGGTGTCGAGTCAGCACAGCGGCCGCCTCCGGTCGCGCTCGTGACAAGCGAGGAGGAGGATGCATCATTGCAGGGATGAAGGGGACTGCTGGTGGGCTGGGAGCAGGCTGCCTGCAGCTGCCCACATCTGGGCGGTTGGGGCCATAGCCCAAAGAGCCACAACCCCAATCCAGCGTATACTTATGGCTTTGCTGGAAAACGAGCCATTTTTGTTTTAATGAAAGCAAAAAGGACCTACTCAAACTGTCCCAAACCTACAACTTAGGACTGGAAGGAAAGGGCTGCAAGTGCTTGCAGACTAACAGACTGGTCTAGGCGGAAGAAAATGGGGCTGTTGCTTACTGTAAATAAAGGCAGAGATACTCATGTCCACATTTTTTCAGCCATTATGAGACCAACAGCTTCACAATTTTCCTCTAACTGAAAAAAAAACCAAACCAATTGGAAAAGCCTCTCCTCTGCCTGCACAAACCCCATCCTCAGAAACGCAGTTGCTCAGCAGAGCAGATTTGGTGTTCACAAGATTGAGGCAATCAGAAAATTTTCCAATCCTAAGTAATCCAATCCCATTCCTAAGAAAAGAATAAAAATAGGCCTGAAATTTTTGGCTCGGCTCCCCAGTCCGGCTCTGTTCGCTTCCATCCAGAGAAGAGCACATCTTGATCTGATGAATTAATGATCCTCTTCACTCAAGACGTCAGGAAGAAGCTGACCTTGCTGCAGTGGAGCAGCGCTCGACTTCTGAGCCGTCACCTCCCTTCAAACCCACCGTAGGGTTTGCAGATTCGTTCCAAGCTGGGAGATGGTGGTGCATAAAATCAAGCACAAAGTGTACTTAGCAGCTAACGAAGGGTGCACAACTGCTCTTCTTTGGTGAGCTAGTTTCTCAGGGAGGTCCACACCCAGCAGAACAGAGGACAACAGCCCCACTTTCTCCAGCTGGGATCCCAAATCCAGGGCTCCCACCGATGCGAGTCTCAGAGCTGAAGAGCTCATTAGCTCACTAGATTGAAGGATTCAGGATCCCAAAAGGAGCTCCTTCCTCTGCATGAGCCCGTAACACAAGGTCTACACCGTGCTGAAGGTGGCAATCTCTCAGGCCACCACAGATGCTTCCAGGCAAAGGTGAAGACACACGCAAACGCAGAAATACACCGTTTCTGCGGTAGGGTGATGGGCCTGGTACTCATGTGGTGGAAAAAACAACGTTTTACCGAAACAATAATTATTAAAAATGGGTGTAAACTGATCCATGTACCTGACCCAGAATTTAACCTGTGTTGAATGCTCAGCCCTAACCTGTCATTGCAAGAGCAGCTTGGGGAAGAGCTCCTGCATTGCACTGTTTCACCAGAACCTCAACGAGAAGGCAGTGCTCTGCATAGCGCTTTAACTGAGGTTTGCTATAAAATGCTGGACGGAGGGCACCCTGCGCTGGCGTGTGGGCCCTGGGGACAGGTGACACAGGTGCCGCTGTGTCCTCCAGAGATGCGGAGAAAGGACCTCCGGCTGGGGCATCTCACATTTTCTCTCTCTCCTCCTGGTCCGTGTGTCACTTGTTAGCAAGGGAAGCGTGTTTCGGTTAAAGGGGAGCGAGGTGAGAAGATCTGCACGCCACGGGAACACACACAGCTCATGCTACCCGCTGCAGCAACGCAGCCAAGTCGTCGGCTGCTGCAGGGGACCCAGCGGTACCTACAGCTGCTTCCCACCACCCCTCCCAGTACAGCACAGAGAAACGCCACCCTGACTCCAGGTGCCGGCTCCCCCATCCAAAGGGAAAGGAAATGTTCTGTTCCTGGTAGCACAGATAACGTTCAAGCATCTGGGGACGGTAGGGATATCATGCCTCCGGCCAGGACATCATCAAAACCCCACAACACGAGGAGGGCAGCAGCACACAACAGTGGGCGGGAGCATACACAAACACGCGCACACACCACGACACGCGCGCAGAGACGACGATCATTTTTTTTTTTGAACAGCCCCAGAATGAACAATTAGGAAGAGGGTGACAAGGAGATGGATGCTGGAATGGGATGGGGACTTAAATGAGCCTCCATGCTGTGTTGGAGTTCCTATGAGGAGCCAATTATTACCCTAACCATGACTTTATGTCTCCAGCCTAAGCTGTTTTTCATCACTGAGAATGTTTACGAAACATACAAAATATTTTATTGTAAGAAATGGGATGGAAGCGACACATTCTTATTTCATGTCCAGCAGTAGAGAAATGTCTGACTCTCACAACAGGCTGTTGATTAGGACAACAGGAAAATACAGTCATAATATTATACTTGCAATTCATTGATGCAATTTGCTGTAAATTAACCACACCAAGTGGTTAAGTGTGATTTACTAAGGCTGTAAAATTTGCATCTGTGAAAACTAGAACCAGGTTTGGAAATCAGACACTAAATCACATCAGCTGTAACGGCGTTAATGCATCTAGTGAGGATTTAAACTGCTGTAAGAACAGAGCTTGGCTCACATCTGGAACTGCAAGCCATTTAATCCCCAACTTAAAATATTGACTTGCCTACACCTTCTTATACCCACCTCATATAAAACGTGCCTGTGATTTGAAAACCTACTCTTTCTGCAGAACCTGAGATAATATTATTTATAATAAATCTTACTCAGCCATACACAGGCCTTTTTGTTTGGATTCATCCCAAAAGGCTAAGTCCCAGACTGAGGAACTGGGGCTAATAACTGCTTGGCTTTAGGTCAGTCTTGGAAGAAAAAAACAAAAGGGAAAAGTCCTGTTGAGATGGGGCATCCCCTTCCCCAAAACCAGACTGGATTACTAGAAGAAACAAATGATCATTTCAGTTCAGCATTCCAGATCTCTCTCTCCTCCAGACGTTGTCCTCCAAAGCAGGCACGGCTGCTACCGCGACTTAATTCTGTGCTACCACTGACGCATCCCACGGTGCCACCGCACCAGTAAACCCAGCAAACCTAGTGTCACCTGGTGGGCACGGCTCCTACAGCATGAAGCGAGATAAGTGAAGGATGGGCAGAGGGGGATAGAAGAAGGAGAACACGCAGGAGTGATGGAAGAGGGAAAATGGGAGTGTGAACGGGGAGGTTTTCTTGTTAAGCGTTGTATGGCTTGGAGGAGGTTGGTAAGACCATCAAGAAATCACCCTTAAAAAAGCGAGCTTATCAAGCGCTCTCCCGATCTCCTTCCTTAAATCATCATTTTGGCAGACAGTTTCCCAACACTTGTGTGTACCAATAGCTAAGATGTACATGGAGGTGCACGGAGTTAGTCCGCAGACAGCAGGATGGGGGGTCTGCTTTGGGCTTTCCCTCATTCCTTTGAAAAAAACTTATCTCCAGAGTTTGGGTTTTCTTTTTTTTGGTGGTGTTTTGTTGTTTGTTTGTTTTTAATTAAAGGCTTTGCATGTTACTGTCCCAAATGAAGAACAAGGAGCGACATGACACACAGTTTCAGAGTCACATGCACTTCATACCTGGAGGCACCGTACGTTTGCGTTTGCGTGCTTTTCAAGTGTTTTCACCAAAGAAAACCAAAGGGATAAGAGAAAGAAAAACAGGGGCGGGAGGGAGGGGAAAATGGGGCAGAAGAAAGGGGAAAAGAAACAGAATAAAGAAAATTAGCATATGAACGAAGTGTATCCCCGAGAGCAGGTGCGCTGTGACTGAGCTTACAGGGGAGTGCGAAGCGCGGGCTGAGCTCGCTCCCGCTGCAGCCGGCTCAGAGGCCACCGCGCACCCGTGTCACCCTCGGGGACAGGCAGCTGGCACCTCGCTCCCAAAGCAAAGGGGCGCCACAGAGCAGGGAAAATGCGGGGACCTCCGAGAGACCTTTCGTGAGACATCCACAGCCCTCTGTCCCGTCAGCCGGGGACTCCTCAGGTTGGGCTGCTGACTTGCGTGTGATGTGCTGGCGGCTTTTTTTTTTTTAAAGCCAATATATGAGCATAGATAAGATCAAGGTCTTGTTCTCATGAGTGACAATAAAGAGCCGATTTTTTTTTGTCAGCAAACCCAGGGGCTGATGCGCAGCGGGTTGCGATGACTGGGCGCACGGAGCTATGCACGCATTACGAGCCCAAACCGTACCTGCGCGCACAGGAGCCTCACGCAAAATTTCAGATTTGGTTCTACCACATTTTCAATGTAAAGATGACATCTGAGATACTCCCGGAGGCCACCATATTTTCCCCAAACGAGTGAGACTAGCTCTACTGCCGTGATCTGAGTGAAGTTCTGGAGACACGTCAGCTCCTCCAAGGCACATGTAACAATTTCCTCGCATCAAGCAGCCAGTCTTTTTGGCGATGCCTTGGGAAGACGGGCAAGCTCAAGTCCCAAGGCTCCTGCTATCGAGGAACAAGCAGCCCAACGCTGAGCAGAAAGGGTGCCAAGGGAACGGAGACTGCAGATCACCCCCAGGCACCCGGGAGGGAGACAAGGGGGGAAGATATTGTGTTCCTCCAACCCATTTCCTAACCACGTGGTGCATCGCGGCCGCCAGTCCACAGCCATCACCGTAATGCGGCGCTGGGCTTGATGCACCACTGTGGCTGCAGCCAGAGCCCGCCAGCTGGCTTAGCGAAGTGGGTAGACGAGGATAGATGGACAGTGCGAGTGATGCAAGCTGCAGCCAGAACATACAGTTACCCCCTCTTCTTCAATTTTTTTTTTTTTCCTCCCAATTAATTTGTCTGACTGCATCCAAAACACATTCAAAAGAGGATCACTGCTTTCTTGGTAAAAAACCCAATTTGCCTAACGGCTGAAGCCATCGGTGCACCCACAGCTCGCTCTCCCAGGTGGTGTTCACTTCGCCTGCGCACAGACAGGAGTTGGGATTTAAGGGTGAAGTTGGGAGAGCCGAAGCCTGTGCCCAGGGGAGCCCAGGGTGACGCTGCCGCTTGGGGACCGTGTTGGGAGCAGCACCCGTGGCATCAGCCAGCAAAAGTGCTACGACCCTGCTACAACTTTATCCGGGCTTTTTATTTAAGACAGTCAGGCTCTTTACCAAACTACTATTTTTTTCTTTTCTCTCTTTCTCCAGCCCAAAGTTTTTATTTAGCCTGTTCTGGAGCTCTTTAGCTTAGTTTTCTTGTGTATATTAGTCCATCAGCCCATATCAGTCCATCAGGTTTTCTAGTTTACGTAGTGAGTAATTACGCCAGTCCGTCCCCAGGCAAAAGGGTGTCACTGTATGTCTGGCTGCGTGGCAAGTTCAGTCTTTCAAACAGCAGTAAAACCTGAGAAAGTCCACTGAAATCAGCCCCGGGCTTTCTGCGGTTTGCAGCGGACTTTGGACCAGGCTTCAGTCCTCATCCTCTCCAGTAGCTGATCTCAGCCAGTGCTGCAAACGCCCAGCGAGAAGGTCAAATACTGGGAGGGAGCGTTTCGATGGGGGGGTGGGTTTAACGCTATTGGAAAACAGGTTTGTTCTGTTCTGTTGGGTTGTTAGTTTGGGGTGTTTTGGGTTTTTTTCAGCAAAATCTTGAAGTTGGTTCATAAATCTCTAGGGGAAAAGCCATCCATCAGACACACACTGGGAATGAATCCAATGAAAACTTACTGACCACAACAATGTGACTTCCAACAGGTTTTTAAGATGGGTTAAGAGGCTGGCTGCTGCGTTTCCAATACAGGCTAATTCTTACCCGAGGAAATATACCCAGATTGTCTGCCCGAGGGCTGAAGGCACCAGTAACGCGGGAAAACACAACGGGATTTACACCTGCCGTGGCACAGCCTGGTGCTGGACCACTGGGAGCAGGGAGATGGGGCACAGCGAGCCCCAGGAAAACCCCGCGAAGCTACAGGAACATCTAACCAACACGTCCACCTCCTGTAGGAACCCAAAAAGATCTGGCTAGTCCCTAAAAACACACCAGAAAGGGATGCACAGCCCTCCCCGGGACGCAGTGCAGCGTGAAGTGGAAAACGAACAGCAATATTTTGCATTTTAGCTTCTGGGGAAGCGTCCTGCTCGATGCCACCAACCCTGAGAGCGACGTGGGGGATGCAGTGCTTCCCCACGTCCCGGAGGGCGCTCTGTCCCCTTCTCCATGAAGCTCCAAATCCCAAGAGGCTGTGAATTCCCACAGCCCCGCTATAACCTGTGCTGTTTCAGCTTCAAGAGCCGCCTGGGTATGATGACGAGTTACCTCTCTTCAAAGCAAACCAGATGGATGCTGCTAAAACACAGCGGTGCTTTATCAGCATCACCCGTCACAGCTCCACTGACTGCCCTTACTCGTGTCAACAGATTGCGATGGATAAGTGAAATGCAAGAAATGGGAAGATGCTCACTGAATCCTGATTTGGTTTTCCTCCTCTTAGAGAACCAAAAAAAAGGAGGGGAGGGGAGGGGAGGAGAGGAGAGGAGAAGAGAAGAGAAGAGAGAAGAGAAGAGAGAAGAGAAGAGAGAAGAGAAGAGAGAAGAGAAGAGAGAAGAGAAGAGAGAAGAGAAGAGAGAAGAGAAGAGAGAAGAGAAGAGAGAAGAGAAGAGAGAAGAGAAGAGAGAAGAGAAGAGAGAAGAGAAGAGAGAAGAGAAGAGAGAAGAGAAGAGAGAAGAGAAGAGAGAAGAGAAGAGAGAAGAGAAGAGAGAAGAGAAGAGAGAAGAGAAGAGAGAAGAGAAGAGAGAAGAGAAGAGAGAAGAGAAGAGAGAAGAGAAGAGAGAAGAGAAGAGAGAAGAGAAGAGAGAAGAGAAGAGGACTCAGGCCAAATGCACCCAAGGAGAGAGCTGGGCCGGTCGAGGGAGGGACAGAAGTCTGCTGAAAGGCAGAAGGACCATTAGAGAGCAGCTGGAGCAGTGAGGAGAGCCCCGGCAAGGGCGCAAGGAGGGTGGTGTTTACCTACGGTCCAGAGCAGCTCGGGAGGGAGGTCTTCACACCCGGGCACGGCAACTGTCACAACACAATGCAACTACCAGCGGACGTGGAGAAATGAAGGTGAAAAGAAGAGCACATACACACACAGACACAAAAAGAAAGAGAAAAAAAAAAAAAGAAAAAACACAACAGAGAAATTAAAATCAAGTCAAAAAGAAATACACACAAAAAAAAAAACTCAAAGCAAAAAAAAATCAAAAAAAACTCCAAAAGTGCATACCAGCCATTAAGAGCTCGTGAAAACAACTTTTTCAACCTAAAAAAATTAAATAAACAAACGAAACAATATATCCAGATAACGAAAATAAATGTGGAGACGGTGGCATCAGGAGGAAGGCAGTAGAAGGGGGAGGTACCTGTACATGGGGACGGTGACGGTGCGTTCATAGTACTGCCAGGTGGAGTGCAGGTCCGTCCGGGACAGGTTGGTGGCATAAAATCTCCAAGCCGCCTGTGGAGGAGACAAGGTGAGATGGTGGACCCCGGCACGGCCAGCACTACCCTCGGTTTTATCAACCTCAGCCAACACTGAGTCCTCCCTCTGCTTTCTGTGGGACAGTTCGGACATTCTGCCTTTTCCTTGGTTTGATGCGTGACAAATTTGGGGTGGTCCCACAACACTCTGGATGATGGGAGCCCAGCTACAAGGGCTGCCAGTACCGGGCACTCGCTGTCAGGGTGAGGTCAGGTATCAAACGGGTGTTGTTGCACATTGGGGAGTTAAAAAATTTGGAGAGAGAGGAGCAGGGGAACGTCAAATGACTCCAATTTCAAATCACCAGGGCCAACCTTCTGCGCAGACATCTGTTATGGTGAAGAAAATGCTCCCAATTGTAACTTCTATCAGTATAAATATTCTCTTTGTGGGGAAAAAAATAAGTTTGGTGAAAACAGACTGTCCTAATGCATTTGTCTCGCTGCGCCGGGCTGGAGCTCATTCCTTTTCTCCCCCAGACTGCCTACCACATATGCTCTTTTCCCACGGCTGATTTCCTGGCATTTACTCCCAGACAAGACCAGTCGCCAGCTGCTGTCTCACACCTCACACGCACAGCCCCGTTTTTCACCTGCCCCTCTCCTCCCCTATTTCTAAAAACCCATTAAGCCTCCCAAAATTGGGCTGATGTAAGCCCAAGGCTCCTCGGACGTGACTCTCACCTGGATCAGACCCGCTGCTGGGTTTCGCCTCTTCTCAAAGTGCTTTTGCCGATGCTGCTCTTGAACCTTCAGGGCAAACCCCGACCCCAAGATGCCCTGGGGAAAGAGAAGGAAGATCTGCAGTGAGCAGGGTGTTAGCTAAGTTTTCGCTAAAAAGTCAGAGCGAACTTTCCCTCCAAAGGTTCGTTCTGGCTCATTATTTGCTTCAAACGCAGAGGGGAGGGAAGGAGAAGCCGCCGTCCGGGGCTGCCCCGGCACACGCGCTCCCCGTGAAGGGGCAGTGGGCTTTGCCGGCGCTCACTGGAATTGCTGCTTTTACCAAACCACTTCCTGCTAGCTCATAAAATAGAAAATAAGCGCACCGTGCCGGCATTCAGCAAATTATCCCCAGAGGGGAAAATCGCAGCCGTGCAACACGCCGAAACGCACGGCCAAAGGGATGGGGGTAATTTGCTGAAAAGGCGTAATCGCCCCTCGGAACAGCCCTTTGCAGGGAAAAAATGCTTTCATTTCAATAAATATTTGTGCAGCGCCAAATCTAGAGTTTCCATCCCATTTGCTCATACACATAGTGCCTGAGCTGTGGATATTCAGACGGGGTTTCCCCTCTTCTTATTATTTTTGGACTCAAAAGCCACGGAGCAGCTGCAGTGGGGAGGTCTCTGGGTGCATCCCGCCATCGGATATAGCTGTTGCGGTGCCACCAGCGGCAGGGGCCGGGGACAAAGCGCGGCCGAGCTCAGCCCCCCTCCCAGCGAGACGCTTACGGCAGGGAGGGCGAAGAAGGAGACGCCGATGAGTGTGAACGTCGCCGCCAGCAGTCGCCCGTTCCAGGGTGTTGGCCCCCTTAGCCGATGGTGGTGAGAGTAATCTGCGGGGAGGAGATGACCAAACAGGTCAGACAGCCCTAAAACTAAACCAAAACTGCCGCTAACACCTGGGTGGGACACAGAGGACTCAGGGTCACCACGTGCTCCGAGGTGACCGAGCCGAGGTGCAGTTCGGAGGAGCCCGGTTGGTCGAGACGGGCACCTCGGTGGGCAGCAGCGATGTCCCGTCACCCCGGAGAGCGCTGCCGCCCTCCCCGCTCAACGCGCTGAGTTTTCAACGCCAGCTGGGAGCGTTTTCTTGCCTTTAGCTGACACAGACAGAGCTGCCATCTGGTGCGGAGGCTTGCGGCAGCTCGGAGCCTCCCCCGGGAGACGGGGTTGAGCCTTCGGCAGGGAGAAGTGAACCGGCAGAGTTCCCCCAAACTCCCTTTCGGCATCTCCCGAAAGAACGCAGGGCTATTTGCATGCATCAAGAGCCGATGCTGTGCACTCCTCATCTTCCCAGCACTGCCTATTAGCCGGTCTCCTATTCAAAACCAGCATATTAGCCCAACAGGATGAATTAGGACTGCTTCATACAACCTAATTTAGGGATGGTTTTTTTCTTCTCCTCATTATTGCAATGCAGCAAGAGAGTGCTGGCAGGCTGCTGTGTGCGTTTTGGGGAAGGAGCTGAGAGATTTGTTGGAGACAAAGAATCCCCTGAGCTCCAAACTGCAGGAAAAGATGCATTTTCCCACTTCACTCCATGGACATCACTACTGGGAAATGTTGGGTATCCCTGGAGGCTTCCGAGAGGATTTGGAGAGCCTGGGACTGGTTGGGGAAGGCAGGGAGAGACGGTCTGGGAAGGAACATCTTCTTTTCAGGCTTCTGCTCAGTGGACCTCAGCGGCCCCTGTGACAAGTGGGAAGTTGTCCCCGTCCCATAGCCTCCAGGGACAGAGGCGGCCCCAGGGACAGGAGCTGACACCACGTTGATGTGGCTTTGGAAACCTCATGCACTCAACTGAGAAGAAAATCACTTGTACACAAATGGAAGTACGATCCCAAAGCACTGTTTAATTGGACCCACTAAAAGCCCTATCAATTAAATGCCGTCTGGTCACAGTGGTTAGAAAATGCATCTGCATGGCTATTCCTTACTGAAACACAAAGTTGAAGCAATACTCTCTCCATAATCACTGCAAAGTTGCTTTAAAATTTTTTCTATCATTTACATAGACAACTATAAGGATTGGATCCACTAAGATCAGACTAAGGGATGAGTTTCTCAACATGAACTTCAATTTATTTTGCTCACCTCTTAACGTCTGTCTGTACTGGACCCGTGAGTTGGACCATGACAAAATCTGTTTATTTTAATGAAGCTCAAGTTTTACTCTGAGCTTCTCAGTGGCAAAGTGTGGTGCACCTCCATGTCTTGAAATGGGGAAGGGGGTGATCCTCTGCCAAAGGCTCGCACGGCCGGGAAGAAGGAGGGATAACTCTGCACATGGTTCTCTCTAGACTGAGTGCTAATTATGGGCTGTCACTTTTTCCTCATTGTTTATTTTCTAGTTATGTCAAATTGGGCTTTGTTTTTATTTTTCTGTCATAACCAAGGGGCTTGAAAAGCCATTTACTGCTTCTTTGCCTTTGTTGGAATAGAGGAGCTGCTTGATCAGCCGATTCCTCCCCAAGCCTGTTATTGGGATTTGATCAGATCTGGGATTTTCATTACATGCTTTGTAATCAAGGCCAAACTAGTGCCAGAGCGTCGGAGCAGAAGAACAATAACGCAAGAAGATTAGAACGTCATTAATTCTCTCTTTGTTGATCGGGTAATCCAATAATTCGCATGCACACGCACACACAGAGCAAACTAAAAGTACTGCCCTTTCCTCCTTCCTCAGCAGAGATGTGAAAAGGGAGTGCTTTCAGCACTGAAGTCTTTCTGGTACTTAGACCCTATTAATTTTATAAAATTTATTCCAGCGTGTTTAACAGCGTGTTGCCCAAGTATGATTATAAATAATTAAAGGGCGGCAAGGCTTGTCAAAATGATGATGAAAGCACGCCGTAGCATGGGGTCTTTATCCGACCTGCCTCTACTGTCGCGACAGGGCGAAATCCCACGACCGAGGGCACACGAGTTCCCAGTTTCTTTGCAGCTCCAGCTAATTCAAGAAACGCGAACCCTTAACATTTTCTATTGAGGTTTATTTAAGAAAAAGAGCTAAATGGAGCAGCCTGAAGCCTTTTAATAAAAATGTTAACTAAGCACTCCGTAAGTCGATTCCTCACGTAAGTGATAGAAGATGGAGGGTTAATGGACATTTTATTTTAATAACCAGCAGCTGTTCTAGGAAAATTACTTACCAGACCCCACCAGAGTGCATCTGCGTACGTATCAAAGTGCTCATTTTCTCCTTTCTCGGCCAAGTACACCAGGAAAGAGGCCAGGATGAGGCACAGGAAGCCAATATACCAGGCAGTAATCAGCTCCTGCAAGATCATTAAAGGATAGAAGAGAATAATTGCAATCCTGGTGCGCATCTCCACAAGCTCGAGTTACTCGCTTGCGGACTGGCCTCAGATCTGAACTTTCCCTGGATTTGCTTCGGCTTTGGGGCTTCGGTTGGAGACCAGTAGTGCCACTTTTTGAGAAGGGACCACGTATTGGTGGTGGCCCTGCCCCACATACGGAGGGTCATCTCTGGAGGTGTTTAAATAAAGGGTAGATGTGGTACTTGGGGACATGGTTTAGAAGTGGTTTTGTCAGGCTGGGTTAACGGTTGGACTTGATGATCTTAAAGGTCCCTTCCAACCTCCATGATTCTATGATTCTACGGGGCGATCCCCCTCCTGACGACCCCATCATCTAAACATATACAGCAAATGGAGGAGGAAAGGGAGTCTTAATAGCTCCCTTATTTCAAGATGTGGAACTGCGACTGAAAAAAAAATAATATTTCCCCAGTTCACACAGGGAAGTGGGGTTAAAACTGAAATGGGAGCCCCAAATCCCTGGGGACTCTGCTTAGGGCAGGTCCCTTCCACTAAGTGGGCATGAGGTACAAAGCTGGGGTCTGGATAGGATATCCCCCAATTTCAGGCAAGTTTTAATTCAGAATTCGCAGGAGTGATTGGTTTTGGATGAAGTTAATACAAGGGTGGATAAGAGACCCACAAAATCCCTACAATTTTTACATAGGTCTGGACAGGCTGGCTAACCTTTTCCATGGAAAAAGTGCAGGAAACAGGAGCAAATTTAAATGTATAATTCAGCATCAGGGAACACGAAAATGATGAACAAACTCTTCCCAAACCAGAGGAAGGTGCCTTACACCAGGGATCAGTTCTGCGTCTGGTCCATGATCTCACGTTGGGAAGAGGAACGCAGCGCAATAACTGCGTCTGCGGGAGCCGCTGCTCACAGGATGCGCTTTCAGAAACACGTCCGCTTTGAAGCGTGCATCCCCGACAAAGAGCTGGCAACACCACCTGTGCTTAATGACTTAACGAGGCTGCCGGCTAATTGCTAACTCTTTGAAATGAGCTGTGTCAGTGTGCAGGTGGTTACTGTGCTCAAGATATTCCCTGCAAATATCTAAACATCCTTCTTTTCTCTACTGGTTGGAGGTCTCCATCGCCTTCTTTTCTCTCCTCTACTGGTTGGAGGTCTCCATCGCACCTTGTGTCTCTGACTTTGTGTTGCCCCCCATCTTACTCTACGGTGACCTTCCAACCTCTCCAGGCCTGGGGTATGTTTGGGGTGAAGAACTGAACCAACGCGGTATCTCTGGTGGGGAGAAACACGAAGAGTGACTCCATACCCTTGCTTGGGGCTCACTCACCTTACTGTGTGCGTAGACCACGGAGCCCAGGAGCTTCCAGGTGCCACCCCGCCGGTCCATGCGGATCATGCGCAGGATCTGCAGGAACCTCAAACTCCTGAGCGCCGAGGTGGCAAAGACGTTCCCTTGGGACCCCGCTGCCAGCACGGCGATGGATGCGATCAGCACCATGATGTCTGCACAAACAGATGGCATTGAAAGCTGAAGAAGCGCTGCTCAACCACGACCAAACCCCCTGCCACCGGCAGCAGAAGGCTCTGCAGGAAAGTGGTCTTGTATCAGTTGTATCGTGTGGGAAGGACATAGCAGAAATCTTAACCTGGATGAAAGGAGTCACTCCACACCTTATGGAAACATCCCACAATGTGTCAAACGCTGCAAAGCCTGAATTCTGATACGATTCAGTGTTAACACTGCTAAACTAGATCCAAACCTTGCAAAATCCATGCCCTTTCTTAATCAGCCGCAGCTGCCTGTTACCCAGTGCTGTCCAGAGCTGTGAATTCCCCAGTCTAAATTGGGAATGAAAACCTAGAGGTCCACCACAGCCATCCTAGGGTGCTCAGGGACACCGAAAGGCCAAGAAAAAAAACAGCCTTGCCTTACATATCCCAAATTAGAGGATCCCGAAAAACCTCCCTCTTCCCTGCTGTTCTATGCACATTTTATAGGGGTGCTTTTCTGTGGAATAAGCTAAAATCCTGCCTGTGACCATTGCCAGCTCCCGGCCATTTGCAAGCTGGCTCCGTAGCGAACGGCACGGCCTCTCTGCCCACTCCTCACCCCGTTATAAATAACTGCTGTGCACAGATGGCCCCTTTCACAAGAGGATCGCCGAGTACTTTCCAAACAAGAATTAATTAAGTCTCGCAACTCCCTCGTGAGGCAGCTCATCAGCACCAGGGAAGGCAAAGTGAGGCACAGAGAATTTCAATGACTCGTGAGCCATTCGGTGTCGAGGTTGGACCCAGGACCGCAGGATCCCAGCTCCTACGCTCAGCTAAATCCCCTTGCGGTGGCGGTGGGCAGTTGTCAGTGACGTGTGGGGTACGCAGGGCACCGGGACGGCTCCCAGCTCTGCAGAAAACAAGGTGGACCCCGCGCAGAATAACAAAAAAACATGCCCATGGATTAGGACGTTTTGCCTTTGTGCTCTTTCC